TAATATTAACACAATTATTATTAATATTTTACAGTTCATATAATCTATCTAATGTTTTAAATAATGCCAGAAAAGCTGTTTTTTTCCCAAAAAAAAATTAAAATATTTTTAGCGTTAATCACAAACAAAGAACAAACTAACAAAAAACACACACCCCCGAGAACCCTCCCATCCCTCCCCACCTATACCGGATCTACCAACAAAACATAAATACATCTTGTATTCATATAACAGAATATACAAGTCACAGGTTTGTGTACAAAGAACCAATATTTGACCTTTACACAAAGTGTAATTAMCATTTTAAAATAAAATAAAAGCCCAACAGTTCAGTAAAATAGGAAATAAAAAGCTAATACAATTTACAAAGTTTTCCTTGCAGACATGAACAATTTTCTTCTTGATTTTGGTTTTCTCTCTCAGCTTTAAGCAACAGATGTTGGCATTATCTTGTTCTTCAAAGATAATCAACCAAACAGGTTTATTTACTGTATGTTTTTTTTTCTATTTATAAATTTTACTATATTGTCCTACTATTTTTCTATTTCAGTTTACGAATCTCAGCTGCTGCCATGCCAAGGTTTTGCATTGTCTTAGCTGTTTCTACCATAGCTTCMTGTGGTGTTTCTGAAGAACTGCCAATGGCCCCACCTATGACACCTCCAGCTGYTGCTCCACCAATGACTGCAAGGCCTGCACCAAAAGTCAAACCAAAAGCTGCTCCCAACACGACTCCCACTGTGGCACCAGCTAAAAATTTCAAAAACGTCCCAGATTTATCCTCTTCCACTTTTTTGAGGAACTCGTTGCTGTAAAATCCTTGCGTTTTCTTCATTGTTTCGATTGTTTTAAGAAGCTGAGCCACCTGAAACTTGTTGTTCCTGTAATCATCAGGCTGGTTGTTGTTCCAGTATCTATTATCAACAACGTGGCACCTGCCGCCACATTTCTCCACCAGATCACACAAACCCTCATCCTGACCAACAAAACCMTCAATTGTGCCTCCTTCATGGAGCTGGTCACCATATGTGAACACAATCACAGCATGTTTCAGAGCTGCCTTTGAGAAAAATTTAAATATTTTGTTGATGACGTCACGTTCCTGCTCTGAGTATCGATCCACTTTAAGCACAATGAGGAAAGCATGAGGCCCTGGAAGCCACAGCTGTACAGACTTTATGATCTCAGCCTTCAGCTTATTTTCATCCATCTTTGTATCAAAGAAACCAGGAGTGTCGATCACTGTGGTACGGACTCCATTGATGACTTTAGATATTGCTTGACATTCTTCTGTCCCAGATTTTGGAGACAGTTTGCTTTTCAGTAGATCTTCTCCCAGTATCGTGTTTCCAAGGCTGCTTTTWCCAGCTCCTGTTTTTCCCAGCAGAACAATCCTTGTTTCATCTGAGCCTAAACAAGAAAACAGTAAAAATKACATCTATTCCAAATATAGTTGAAATCAGCCGTTTATATAGACTGTTTAGACAGAAAGACACTTTTTCAATCACTTTACATTAGACATTAGACAAGACATTATAAGACTGTCTTACATTTTTTCCTGCTCTCAGCGAAGGCGGACACTTTCCCCCTCTMTCTTCAACCTTTCCTTATTTATCCTGCTTTGCTGCTTTCACAGCCTGTCTTGCATAACTTCCAAGTTGGAAATTATGGATCTGGTCAGCTKGTCTCTCAACACTAYTGATAAAYTTTTCTCCACAGCGAGACTGGGCTAAGGAGAATCCYCTTGTCCTGATGGGACATATGCCACCAGGCATGTTATGGATTCCTGGGGGGTGGAAGATAATGTGCCTGTCTGTACTGTCGGTCGAGGGCGTTGACGATGTCTACATATTTGAATTATTGATAGCAGGATTTCTGCTCATTGGATTTGGTGGATACTTGACATATCGTGAAATTCGGAAAGTGTCGGGAGCCATTYGGGCTGTGATGARGCTGCCCGGCCCGTGTGATGGAACATGCCAAGCTGTCAACACTCAGACTCAAACGCTTTTGGAGCAGAATCACAAACTGTATGTGATCCTTGAGCAGGGTCGCAGGCCAGCTGTGGTTTTGCCTGCTGGCTGAATCGAATAGATCTTGGAGAARTTGTACGCTCGGTGAGGCGAGAATGACCAAAGAAATKTGGTTGATTGGAATTTTGCCGTTGAGAGGTCCCAGTGAGACTTTAAGACTACCAGTAAATCAACAGTCAGCCTATTCTAAAAACAAATTGTGACTATCTAAATTTAGCTCCCATGTTGGCCTTGAAGGATGGATATCTCAAACTCTCCTGGATGTTTTTGTAAACTCTGCCCCTACCACCCACTATCCCACTCACRTCTGTGAACTGGTGTCCAAGATTAACCAAGGCTGAACGGATGAACTCTACATCCCTTCAGGAACGACAAAAACCACAACACCTAGACTCTTCAAACCAGGACTAGATTATTCTACACTAATAGTGGAATAATAAAAACTAAGTTTGAGCTTTGGGCAACTTTGGTCCTGTTGCCTGAAAAATGATGAAAAACAAATTTTATTAATTTTTCACAAATCAGACAAAGGTTTCCCAAAGCTCAAACTTAGTTTTAAATATTCCACTATTAGTGTAGAATAATCTAGTCCTGTTTTGAAGAGTCCAGATGTTGTGGTTTTTGAGCTGGACCAGGTCTAGTGTCGTCTTGTTGCCTATAAAATGATGAAAAACAAACTTTATTGATGTTTCACAAATCAGAAAAAGGTTCCCCAAAGCTCAAACTTAGTGTTTATTATTCTTCTATTAGTGTAGAATAATCTAGTCCTGGTTTGAAGAGTCCAGGTGTTTTGGTTTTTGAGCTGGACCAGGTCTAATGTGGTCCAGTTGCATAAAAATGATGAAAAACAAATTTTGTTGAAGTTTCACAAATCAGACAAAGGTTTCCCAAAGCTCAAACGTTTTTTAAATATTCTTCTATTAGTGTAGAATAATCTAGTCCAGATTTGAAGAGTGTAGGTGTTGTAGTTTTTGAGCTAGAGCAGGTTAAACACGCGCAAGGTAGTGAAAAATTAKTTGTAATATCCCTTTAGTCATTTCCGAATCGGAAGCTGGAATCGGAAGCTGACTTCAGCTTCAAGTGTGTTTGGGAGTACTTCTGTCATTAAAGCCCTGGAGTTAGAGTTCAGTATCAGCTCTTTTACTGAAAATGACTGCATTTACGAGGTGTAGTTGACCTTTAATGCGCATGCGTAAAATCAAGCACCACACGCCTAAACTGTCCCGTTGTTCTGTAGGTTTTTACATACAATTGATAAGTTTGCGTTTCAAATGACTGACTGCTCATGCGCATTAATAACTGTAAAATGGYCCTTTGAAGTCATGAATAATAAGCTGCGTAGAGAAGCAGCTTTTTTGTTTCATAAAGAAATCTGAAGCGCGCGACTGCAGGAGGAGAGTTTAAATAATAATAATAATAATAAAAACAAATTAAAAAAATAAAAACAAGTCAAAAGTCTGCGCTGCTCCTGTGTCTCTGAGGACACGGAGACTATCTGCGGCACATTTGCGCACTTCTCCTCCTTCGTCTTAAACTAAAAATTAATTTAATTTATTTAGTTTACGGACTTTAAATAAGTGAATGCAACTCACCATCCATGACAAAGAGGAGCTGAGAGTGGTGTGMAGACCCGTGAATCAGGTTAATRTGGAGAGTTTCTGTCCTTCTGCTCCACTCACAAACACTTTCTGTTTCAGTTTGTCTCTGGTCCAACCCCAGAGACAAGAAGCTGCTGGGTGTGGATCATGTTAGATCAGCTTCAGYCAGTCTGAACTGGGACTGGAGAGATTTTATGGGCACCGAAATTTGTGCCCATAATATTTGACATGTTTTTATGTTTTCTAATTATCTACATTTATTTTAGTTTTTCCTTTTCTTAGTTTTTTTTCCCCATAACATTTTCTAACACCAGATGGCAGGGTTATACCCGGTTGGGTCTTTGGTTTGAGAATTTGCTTGAGAATCAGTTTTTCTTGATTGTTTACACACATTTTTCTGGTACTTTACAATGATCTCAACATGTAACTCATGCACCAACCTCCTGAATCAGTTCTGCTAAACTACAAGTACAATTCCTGCAAAACACAGTATACACAATCTGCATTTGGCACAATTTTCATGAAGAAAATCATGTTTTCACAAGGAACACTGTCATTCAAAATGATAAAATAACAGTGAGAATAGACAAAATATATAAACAAAATCTGGTCCAGAGGACCTGATCACCTTTGTTAAATGTGTTACTGTGTATTTGTGTGTTCTAAAAAAATCTAAAATATTTTACAACATACTGGTGTATATATGATGAAGGGATTGTCAGTCATCATGTTTTACATTGAGCACAGCTGGTTCTTATAAATGTCCGTTCATCTGAATGTTTGAGTGTCATCTGAAAACAAAATATCATTTTGAGAAGAAATAACAGTTTTAAATGTAATGTTTCATTTTGTAGGAGAATTGAGAGATTTTGCCAGAAGCATGCTTTTAGAAAATATAATCAAGACAAACTGTAACGGTCCACCTGGGCAGGCCTTGTTTGGTCCCAGACATGGTTTTACAGTCAGTAGGGGTGGAAGAACTGTTTGCTTTGCTGCTACCCTGCTTCAGTGCCAAACTACCAACAGGGACATCATTATGGGGCAAAAAGTGTAAAACGAAAAGTTTAAAACAGTCAGCAGCGTTAGCAGCATTTGCAGTGGCTACACTGATAATTGTCATAGGATGGTGACATCAACCTGGTTAGCTAACGCTAACTGCTGCTGCTCATGGCTCTATCCAAAATCAGGAGCTGCGTCCTCTGAAGGCCAAATTTGTCATTGGCTTATATCACTGCGTCGGAGGCTTTCCAAATATAAAGACTCCTCCGATGCGGCCTACAAATGTGTCCTTTCCCCCCCCCCCGATTTAAGGGGGACCCCTCTCAGCCCAGCCTATTAATTTGAAGGTCATTAATAAAACATGAGGTAAAATTTAACTGGTGCATTTTAACTGTATTTATTTATTTCTTAGTTGATTTCAGAGGTCGCGTTAACAGAATATTTTCCGTATTTGACATTTTTTTACACAATGACGGAAAAATCTAAAGGCCGTCCGTCATTTTGACAGATTGCAATTAACACCTCTGACCTCTTAAGTCTGGAAGACTTAATAAATAAGCCAGGCGAGGAGGAGAAAAAAACTCAACGAGGCTTCACAAGACGGCTCTGTGGCATCACACTCACAGATATTTTCAGCTTTACAAACAGAGTAGGTCTACATCACAGAGGTGTCTTATTTAATCTAAAATAAATAAAAAATTACCCTCCGATCATCATCTCATATCTAGAGACCATACTGAATGCATCAGGAGCTGACAGCGCAGTGAAAAGTTAAGGACAGGAGTCTTTGGAGCATCTGTGAGGCACAGCTGAACCAGTGGTGCAGTGGGCGCGCATGCTGCGGCATTTCCTCCTGCTAAAGCCATAGCTTGTGGGATTTGGAAATAAAGTTTTGCTGACTTCTGATCACTTCGACTGGAGAAATGTTTTCTGATTTTAAAACCTTGGCTGAAGTGGTGCTTGTTATTCCAACAGTGTCACAGCAGAGCGCAGATTAGTCTTCAGGACTCACTGTGCATAACTTGAGATTTTCCTTAGAATTAAAAAAATATTTTATATTTATTAGACTTTTTATTGCATGAATCAAATCCATACTGTTTCTGTTTTATTTAATAATATTTTTAACACAGTGGCAGTGGCGCATTGTGATTAACAGCTGACTGCATCTCTGCCTTTCTAGCTTCCTCCTGCAAAGGAGGCAGAGACAGAAATAAGCAGGCATTATCTAATGTTGCAAACTGCAGCCACTAAATAACGTTTGTAGATTTTTTTATTTTCTTTTTTTTTTGACTTTTCATAAGGTAACTGAGTCAAAAGAAGGACATTGTGTGCGCATCACATTGTGCCGTTGGGCCTGGTGTGAGACAGATGCACTGTTTTTCAGCACCACACGCTCAAGGTGGCCTGCATTTGTGTGAGGTGCGCTGATGAGATTTTCTCCAGAACTGCCAAACCAACATGACAATAACCACATTCTATGAATGTTTAGTCATTATCATTTAAAAAGAAAGTGACTGGTAAAAAAAATGATCATGATGGATTTTTTTTTACTCGGTCAGTCAAAGTGACGGACAGCAAAAAAAGTTTAGTGCAACCTCTTGTTGATTTATATGTTTTTACTTTTATTTTTAATTATGTCCGTTTCAGTCCTCCATACATAATAGTCAAGCGTTAAAACAATATTGCAGTAAATAAATTAAAAACACTCTTTTTCTTTAAAAAACTGTGTCTGAGAATATTTAGTCTACTCTGTTGTGGCTCTTTCCCTTTAAATTTGTGGAATTTCACTCCTCAGCTATATAAACTGCATGAAATTTACTGATCTCAAGCACACAGATGTCTGCCCTTCTCTGAGAAACAATTTCAGTATAAAAAAGTGTAAACAGTTTGCCAGTTTGTCACAGAAACCAACCTGTAGAGTGTTGAATATTAAACATCTGTATCAGATGGAAAACAAATCTGATTTAAAATAGATAAATATGCACAATGTACAAGATGTGTCTGTAATGTCACATTATTAGGACAGCTGCTGATTCTGTACACCGGACAAGGTGCCTTTTTTACATTTGAGCACCTGCCCCTGAAAATGTCTGTGCACGCTACTGTCTACCGTTGTTAACATCCTTATATTTTCCTGCCATCTGCCATCACTAATATGCACCTTCATATACATTCATTTTGTACTGTACTTTATGGTGTATATATGTATATAAATAAGCATATGTGTTTACTTATATGTGTATATGTGCATTGGTACATTACTATATATGACATGTGTATATTGTGGGGTTTTGTTTGTTATCTTTTATTAATCTTTTATTATCTTAAAGTTAAGGTGGGCCGGGTCCTTGGTAGACCGGGAAGACCGGAAAAAAAGTGTCTGTGAATTTGGACGATCTAGCCTCCCCTCCACCCCGACGTAGGTCATGTCACCTAGCAACCATGATAACGCTAAACAGAAGCAAAAATAGATCAAAAATAGAAAAATATCAATACATTAGCATTATTAATATCACAAAACAATAAAATTAACTTAAAGGTAACATTTGAAGAACTAATTGACCCGCTGTATGTGCATGTTTAATTCGTGTTTTTTAATGACAAAAATAATATTTGAAAACACATCTACACAAACGATAAAAGTATTAGAATTGCAACCGCTAAAAATTTTTAATTTTTTATATCGCCATATWTTTATTTAAAACGTATTCTTTTCTCTTGCTTCGTCCGTCATTATTAGCTTAAAGATATCTCCGGTCGGGCCGCAATGCATTATGGGATATGGTGGGCCGAGAAGGATCCATCGGACCTTTCCTTCAAATCGGGGAAAACGAAGGACGTATTTGTCGGCTGCATCGGAGGAGTCTTCAGTTTGGGATGTCCTTTGTCGCGGCGCTGTGACGTAGGTGGCCGACGAATTCAGCCTTCTGAGGACCCGTCCTGTCGTTTTGGACACAGCCTGTGTGACGTAGTGACAGATTCTCTGACGGGACAGAATAATGTCCACTAACCTGAGACAGATGACAGGAGCTCTTTAGCTGAAATCAAGTGCCTGCAGTTGGTGTCCTGGCAGGAAATATCCGCGCCGATGCAGATCAGCGGCTCATCAAACTGGACTCGGGACAAAAATAGATCTGAAAGCGAGCCTCATCTGCTCGCAGCTCCTGGGTGATGAAACCCACCAAATGTCTCTGAATTATCTGGTGAATTAATTATGAATTAATTATCTGATGAACGCGCTGTTCTCTTGCACCCAGTAAATAAAGCAAAGTCACTTCCTTTATTTCATCTGACACAGAACAGAGACCGATAGAGGAGGGAGAGGGCGGACAGGCTCTCGACGCGCGTCGAGCGCTTTGCAATTTTGACTCGCGTCTGACCTCAAAGTGCACAAGCATCCAACTTAAAGCATTGGACGCGATACTGACGCTGAAATCACGTTTGGTGTGAACGCAGCATAACAGACGATCATGCTATGCTAACTGTTCCAACCCCTGACTGCTGCAGGGGTGTGTCTTAGAGAGAGGATTTGGCTGTCTGCTCTTCCACACCCCAGAATGAATGGGTTTGCCTCCTGGGTTCGGATATGGACTGCCCTCCGCAGGGGCGGGTACGTGTCCTGGACCTGGGGGGTATAAAGTGTGTATCAGGAGTGTGAGTGGGTTGTGGCGTTCTTCTTGTCTGTCTTGTATGAGTGGGTGTGAGAATGAGGGTGGGACTGTGTGAGTGTGTTTGTGTATGATTGTTTGTCAGGCTGGGACTCGGGCTGCCCCCTCATTTGGTTCACCCGAAAGCCCTCTACTAGTGGTGGGTTCTGCCCCTGGCCGCGCTGCCCTCTGGTGGGGTGTGCCTCTGCCCGCCGGTGCGCTGGTGGCTCTCAATGTCTGGGGCTGGGTGCTTGGGCATGTGTCGGCTTGGCCTAGTGGCAGCCTGGTGGGGCTTGGGTCCTCTGCCCCTGTCAGGCTTTGGCCTGCTGTGTTGGGGGGAGGGGTGCCCTGTGGATCCAGGTCTCTGTGTCCATGCTTGGTTCTGCTCCGGTGTGGCAGGGGCCGGATGGCCTGTGGTTGCAGCTGTTGGCCCTGTGGGTTCTGCGTGTGGTTGCTGGTGGGGCTCTCCTGGTTCTCTCCTGT